AGCAGGGAGCCCGATGCGGGGCTCGATCCCAGGACCCTGGAATCATGACCTGAGCCGAAAGCAGATGCTTAATGACTGAGCCACCCAGGCGCCCCTTTTATGTATTTTTTTAAAAAGATTTTTATGTATTTTTATTTGAGAGGGAGAGCATGAGCCAGGGGAGAGCCAAAGGGAGAGAGAGAATCCACAAGCAGACTCCCCACTGAGCATGGACCCTGACGCACTCTATCAGAACAGGGCTCTATCCCAGGACCCTGAGATCATGACCTGAGCCAAAACCAAGTGTCGACTACTTAACCGACTGAGACACCCAGGCGCCCCCTTTGCCTATTTTTTAATCCAGTTATTTGTTTTCTTGTTGAGTTGTAGAAATTCTCTGTATAGTCTGGATATTAATCCTTTATCAGATATATGATTTACAAATATTTTCTCTTATTTCATAGACTGCCTCTTCACTCTGATTGTTTCCTTTGACATATAGACGTTTTTAGGTTTGATGTAGGTTATTTTTGTTTCTGTTGATTGTAATTTTGGTATCATATTCAAGAAATCATTGCCAACTCCAGTGACTTGCTTTTTTCCTGTTTTCTTCTAGGAAGTGTATAGCTTTAGGTCTTACATTTAGGTCTTTAATCCATTTTAATTTATGTATATGGTGTAAGGTAAGAGTCCAACTCCTTTTTTTTTTGCATGTGGATATCCAGGTATCCCAATACTATTTGTTGAAGAGGCTGTCCTTTCCCCATTTTCTAGTCTTGGCAACTTGGTCAAAAATTACTAGGGTATATATGCACGGGTTTGTTTCTGGGCTCTATTCTGTTTTGTTGGTCTATACATCTGCCTTTATACCAGTACCACACTGTCTTAATTAGTGTTTCATTGTATTATGTTTTGAAATCAGGAATTGTGAGGCTGCCAATTTTGTTCTTTTTCAAGATTGTTTTGGATACTTGGGATATTTTAAGATTCCATATAAATTTTGGACTTTTTTCCTACTTCTGTAGAAAAAAAATACCACTGGGATTTAATATGGATTGCACTGAATCTTTACATCGTTTTGAATAGTGTACATATTTAACAATATTAAGTCTCCCAACCCATAAGCAGAGGATATCTCCATTCATTTGTATCCTCTTTCTTTTCTTTTAGCAATGCTTTATAGTTTTCAGTGTACAAGTCTTTCACCTCCTTGGTTGTGTTTATTCCTAAATATTTTACCCATTTTGATGCTATAGTAAATGGGATTATTTTCTTAATTTCCTTTTTGGATTAATTATTGGTAGTGTATATAAGTGTAACTGATTTTTGTGTGTTGACTTTGTATCCTGCTACTTTGCTAAAATTACTAATTGTAACCTTGTGTTTGTGTGTGTGTGTGTGTGTGTGTTGAGTCTTTAAGGTTTTATACATAAAAGATCATATAATCTGTGATCAGAGGTAATTTTGCTTCCTTTCCAATTTAGGTGCTTTTTAATTTCTTTCTCTTGTCTAATTGCTCTGGCTAAGAATTCTAGTACTCTGTTGAATAGTAGTGATAAAAGGAGGCATCCTCACCTTGTTTCTGATCTTAGAATAAAAACTTTCAGCCTTTCATAGTTGAGTATAATGTCAGCTGTGGGGTTTTCATATATATATATGTATTTAATGTTAAGGCAGTTTCCTTCTATTCCTAGTTTGTTGAGTGCTTTTATCATGAAAGAGTGTTATATTTTGTCAAGTGTTTTTCTGCATCAACTGAGATAATCATGTGGATTTTGTCCTATATTTGTTAATGTGGAGTGTTCTATTGATTTT